ACACACGAGGAAACAATCTGCTGAGAGGAAAAGTCAGAAAAAGACTTAAGAACTTGAAATAATATAACAGTATGATAGAACCTTTAAAATAAGTAAGCTAAAAATGAGTAAGACATGAAAGCAGGACTCAAATATCTAAGAAAAAAGATAATACAAAAAACAGATTTAAAAAGGAGCAGCATACCCAACAGGTTTCTCAACAGACAGTAAAGAAGACAAATTCAACCAAAGTAATCATGTCAGGCAATTTTCATCACAAAATAATTAGGAGAGATGTCACTGGGAAACAAAATATTCATGTGATTCACCCCCAAAAATTTAAAGAGGAAAAAATGCACCATTATAATGGAGAGACCTGATAAAAGCTACCTCAACCAAGTTATCACACTTAGTATAGCAGAACCACCCAACAGTATAAACCTACCTCCTGACAGTAAAAAACATAGCTTATGAAGCATTCTTATTAAAATATTTAACCTGAAACTATCCATGAGGAAACAATCAGACAAATCCAGAATATCTGTAAGCCAACTGGCCTAGATTCCTCAAAACATCAACACCAGGAAAATCAAACAAGAAAAGGAAAGAGGGCAGGTGGGCTCTTGTGGATCAATAGACTGAAGGGGCATAATAACCAAATGTAATTCATGAACCTTGACTGAATTGTAGACCAAAGAAAAATACTGTAAAGGACAATGGGAGTCAAGTGGGGAAGTTGAATATGGCTTGAATATTAGGTCATATTATAAAATTATAAAAAAATTTTCTTATTTTTGACAAGGTATTATAGATTTGTAAGAGAATATTCTTATTCCTGGAAAATGAACATTTCAGTATTTAGGGATGAAATGTCACAATACTATAATTTATTTTCAAATTCTTTGGTAAAAAAAAATACATGCATAATATATTTAGGCACTCACATATATAGGGGTAGAGAAATAAGCAAATGTGTCACAATATTAACTGTTGGTGAATTTACATGAAGGATATACAAGCATTCTTTGTATTACTTTTCTAACTTTTCATTATGTTTGAAAAAACACATAAGAATATAAATGAATGCCCAGTAACATGAAAAAGTGTCCAAAACCAATATTCATCAGGGCTCGAAATGAAAATAACAGTGAGAGAATACATAATGGCCCCTAGAATAGCAAAAAATAAAAAGGACTGATAATACCAAGTGTGGGCAAGGACATGGAGCAAACTGAACTCTCATACATTATCAGCAGGAAGGTAATAATGGCACAACCACACTGGAGAACTGTTTGGCCCTTTCTTTTTTTTTTATAAAGATATTATTGACATATACTCTTATGAAGGTTTCACATGAAAAACAATGTGGTTACTACATTCACCCATATTATCGAGTCCCCCTGCCCCACACCCATCGCAGTCACTGCCCATCAGTGTAGTAAGATTGTTTGGCCCTTTCTTATAGTTAGTATGCATTTATTTATGCCAAGGGTCAGCAAAATACCACACCCCCACAGGCCAAATCCATTCTAAGGACTGTTACTGTACAGTACTCAAGCTAAGAATACTTTTACATTCTTAAAGGACTGGAAAGCAAAAAACAAAGAATATGCAAAGGAGACCATATGTGACCTGCAAAGTCTAAAATATGTTATCTAGACAGGACAGAAATATATTTAGCATCCAAAGAGAAAGAGGTTGCTCACCCTCATCTACCCTATGACCCAATAATTCCACTACAAGGTCTTCATCCAAGAGAAATCCAAGTTGTGTGTCTACAAAGCGACTTGTACAGGTGTAGCTCTGGAGGGAAGGAGATTCCTCTCCTGGAATTAATCCCCCTACGAATCCAGTGAAACCCAAGTAAGACAAAGAGAAGGGAGAAACAGTATTTACAGCTCACAGCTTGCTCCAGTTCGCTAGCCAGGCCGCTCGGACCATGTCCCCCATGATGCGGCGTGCAGGCGCACTTTCCCCTAACCAACCCCTAAGGAGGAGCTCCATCGGTGCGTCCTTGGTGATTGGCAGAGGCCAGGCCAATTACATACCAGGAACGGAGGGGAAGACAGAATGGCCGTTTTCCCTCCACCCCTTGCCATGGATTGACCGGGAGGCTCTGAAACATCCATTGGTATGTAAATGGCTAAGGCTAGGAGGGAGATTCTGGAAATTCTGACATTTACCCCCAAAAGGAGTGTTTATAAGAAATCTTGTCCATAAGACCTAAAAATTGGTAGATGTGCATTTGATATACCTATGTTGTCTGTAGTTTGACAAGCCAAGCCTAGAATTCACATGAAAGAGCAGAGACAAGAATACTGAACACCACTTTGAAGAAGATGATGTTAGGGAAGGCAACTAATGGAAGAAAACTGCATAGTCATCTTTAAAAGCCAACTTTTTTCCATAAACATTGTTTGCTGATACGTTAGTTGACTTTCTTTGTGTGACTTACCATGTAATAGTCTTTTTCCCCTGCTCAACTGTTAAAAAATTAGTTGTTTGTAACATAAAATAGCTTTCACAATCTTGCAGTATTTTCCTATTGCAATATTTACATTTCAATTTATGAAATTAACATATAAAGCTATGGGTAAAATTGCAGTATTTCCAGAATCTCTCCCCTGGCCTTAGTGCCTTATCAATATATTTCCAAGGGGTGGAGATAAGTAGTCTATCTCCATATCAATAGGTAACTACAAGGGGAGCAAAGGAGTATGTAGACAGGAGAAGTTGGGTGGGGTCCCTTTCTGCAGTCAGATCATGAGAGACACAGGCCAGCAGAAGTGGGCGACTGCTTGTAGGCAATAAGCAGGTTTCTCCCACTTTATTTCTCCCTTTGACTGATTCCAGTTTCAAAGGTAATTTGCCTCAGGCTGGGAAAATATAACGTCCCCCTCCATCCCTGGAATTACAAAGCATATGAGATTTTTACTCCAAGTTACATTTAAAAGGCTTACTTCCTGGAAAAAAAAAATTGAAACATTTAACAATACATCTGAATAGCATACCTTGTTCATATTACCCATATTGGAAAACTGATTAGATATGTAATCTTTGTAATCATGTGTTAAGGAAGCAAAATATGCTGTTAGAATAATCCACCTTTTTTCAGCTTCCTTGAGATTGAGGCAGAAACCACACATAGGCTTGGCCCTATTGAGAGGCTTAACTTAAACTTTGAACATTCCAACCATCATTATTCTGCTTTTACTTACAGTATCTTTCTAGAAATTGACTTAAAGTAGGTCATACTAAGAGGAAGTTTTCACTGACATACACTGCTTTTCCTGTGGGGTCTGACAAATCTTATTCTAAACTATGTAGTATAATCTCTGGTTTATTCACTGCTGAGCCAAGTGGCTAAAAATCTTTAAAACAGAAAACTATCACCTCTACTTTAGAAAGGATATGAATGACAAGAGACTTAAAACTTACAACTCTTTGGAAACTACTTTTTTCAAAGTCTGAAAGGTGTCTACCTCAAGACCAGAATACAAAACTAGAAATGTAAGAATGGGAAAAGTCAGTCATACTATTTGGGCCAACAACTTACAGAAATAGATTATTCTTTAATGCCAATATCAAAATATAAAAATATATGAAAGATTCAAAATATAATTTTCAACTATCCATGCTAACAGTCACCTCCATGAGAACACAACATAGGAAATTAACCACATTTTGATAAGTAAAAAAACAAGTAAAAGGTTCCTCATAGACTTGAAATGAAAACAGTGATGTTTTTCTCTCTCCATTTATCCTTGAATGAAAATGCCTCCAAGCTAATACACTGACAATAAACACAAGATGAGAAGAGTAATGTTACACTTATTACTAGCTTGATGGTGACACAAACTTTTCTAGAGAGGTTTGCTATTGGTAAATAAATCCCTTGGTTTACCAATCAAGGAAGAGATGAAAGTAACAGTTTTCTAATTATTTCAAGAATATCTTGTGAGGAATATAAACAACTATTGAAATTATCACAGTTAAAGGAAATTATTAGTAAAGAAGCCAGAAACTAATATTTTTAAAAAACTGTATATATGAAACAACAATGCAAACAATTATATGCAAAATAAGTTTAATTACTTCATTCAAGTGATTTTAAGCAAAAAAGAAATGAGTATCTTAAATGTATCCGTCAAATAAACTAGATAAGATAAATACTTAACCTTTATTTTCTAGAAATTAGAGTAGCTTGCAGTTGTTTCTGCTTTGCTTTTTTAAAAAGGAACAAAACTATAATAAGGCAAAATGAACAACATACTTCTAGATAAAATAAGAAATCAAAAAACTTGAAAATTATTTGTATTAAATTACTCTATAATAAAGGTGACATTACCAACAGAACCCAAAAGCAGGGTGAAAAATGAAAAACAGTAATTCATATTAAAGTGCAACTACTTATATTTCATCCCATAAAGTTCCAATAATTTATAATCTTTTCCCACAGGATTTTTTTCCCACTCATTCACAGTTGATAACTGCTAAAAAATGCCTGCTGTGCTAAAAATCCCCAATAAAATTACGTATTATTCACTGCTTTATGCTATACTTTCTTTAGTCCATATTCAAATAGCATTAGCCTATCTTTCATTTATCAAACTTTCAGCTGCACAGAGGAGGAAGGCATTTAGGAAGGTCAGACAATCACAGCGCTCCCTTAGTGATACGAAGTCATGGTGTGGGGAAAATGCTCTCATAGGGCAGAGCACTGTATAAACATTTCATTAATCTTTGAATCTAACGTTCTCGTGCTTTGCTTAAATCTATTGGGTGACCAGCAGTCTAACAACTTTTTACTCTATTCTAGGTTTTCAAAATCTTGAAAAAAGAATAATTAAGACACACATTGCAGACATTGAGGCTCCCATTTAGGTTAATATGAGAGTAATTTAACAGATTTTTAAATTGTGTATACCCTTTCCAAGCCAAGAAAAAAAACTACATCTTTCACTTTTGTTCTATTGACCCAAAGTAAGGTTCTGATTCAAATAAAGCAAAAACATACTTACAGAACTCGCATCAACATCACTATGAATGGCAACCGTTTTAATGCCCATCCTCTTGCAAGTTTTAATAACCTATTTTAAAACACATTAATGTACCTATTAACAGTGGTTAATATTTAAAGGGATTTAATAATAAAAGTCAAAGTAAAATGAAAAATAAGAGTAAAAAAGTCTACTCACCCTACATGCAATTTCTCCTCTATTAGCAACAAGAATTTTATCAAAAGTCTGGAGAGTGGAAAAAAACACATAATTGTTACTCCCACTTTGGGGCGAGAAAACATTAAGTTTTTCCACAATTAAAATTGGACATGAGCCTAATAAACATTACTTCCTAGAGTAGTATTAAATACATACAAACATTTACAAACAGCTTACTATTAAACACATTTGGTAGGATCTGACCCTATAATTATTCTGTTAAAGCATCAACTGACTTGGGTAATAACTCAAAGTGGACTGAGGAGTATTTATAACGTTCTCATGCTTTGCTTAAATCTATTTCATAACCAGCAGTACTTATATGCACTCTTGCCTAAAGGTAATCTTCAAATAATATCTCAGAATACTAAAAAAAACTTCAGGCTAAATTGCTTAACAATTTGCTTGATCTTTTACTTTTCTAAATTCAGGGAGATTCCAAGTGTCATGAGTTGTTTATCAAAAGAAAGTCTGATATAATTTATATCTCTATTGGGGTGGGACATTAAACAATATTTTCAGTATCTCAGAAGAGATACTACTATGCTTATATCCAAAGATTCCCAGACCAAGCAGATTATGCTACTTGAATACAATGTTAAATTTGAATAACTATCAAATTTTGGAACAGCTGAAGCTGCACAACAGAAAGAGTAGTTCAATTCTGTGTGGGGCAAGAGACCTAAATTCTAAGCCCATCTTTGCCACTAATGACCTACTTGACTTTAAGCAAATCAGGTGCCATAGGTCTTGATTTCCTCATACATAAGCTGATTGAATTTTAATAGGAAATTAGTAAGATTCTCTTCTTACTCTAAAATTGTACAGGCTAAACCTTTTAAAGAAACACTTAACACACAATTACAATTAATTTCATTGCAAAATACTTTAGTACACAGTTATTGCTGGGTTAGTGAACTGTTATAAACGGAACTGTAAAAAATATTAAAGTTATATTCTTAAAAGAAAAGTTAAAGTTCTATATGATCTTTAAAGTATTCTTACATAACTGAAAGCAATATTTAACCCAACAGGGAGTCGCAGAATCTCAGAATTGGAAAAGGCATTCAAAGTCTTGGTTTAACCTTTACACATGGCTTATTCCACCAAACTGAGACAAGCCTCTGCCTTAAAAATTGATATACTAATTTGACAGAATCCTGATTCATTCAGAGCTTTGAGCAGACAGTCCCTTAAAATACCCTAAACTCACCTCAAACCTGAGACTATAAAACCATCTGCCTGCCTATCCCCAAATGGTCATGATAAATCCCTACAAACAGTAAGCATATACTAAGTAAAAATGTTTATATTTTCTTAAACTGCATTTTAAAATGTGAATTTTTACTAAGTACTACAAGACTATATCTGATAAAAACAGCACAAACTCTGCAAGTTACACTAAGCAATTACAGCAAATATAACAAACTATGATAACATCATATGGATCAAGTAAAATTTCCATCGTGACTTCTATCCAAATGGCAGAGTAATGGGTAAGAGCTAATCTAGTGCCAAACTGCCTCAACTGGAATGCCAGCACTACTGTGGGTCCTTCCTGTGTGTGTTCTGTAGGCAAGTCATCCTTCCTGACCCTTGTTTCCTCATATGTACAATGACAGTAATAATAGCACCTGCCACAGGAGGCTGTGAGAGAATACACATTAACATCCCTACAGTGGTAGAACGGTGCCTAGCAGGTACATACACTCAACAGGTACTAGCTATAGCATAAGAATTAGTGAACAGCTAACTGTCACTCACCCCTCTGGGCCACACACCAAAGTGTTATGTACCCAGGAGTGTGATCCTTTCTAACAGGGAAAAATCTATAACAAAATGAATACTTCTACCTGACACATCCTCTGTTCAGGGCCTGTGATGGTAGATTTTATGTCAACTTGACTGGGGGCTACAGGGTACCCAGATCAAGCATTACTTCTGGGTGTATCTGTGATTTTCCAGATGAGACTAACTTGTGAAACGGTGAGCTCAGTAGGCTGCCCTCCCCAGTGTGGGCAGGTATTTGCAATCCATTGAGGGCCTGGCAATAAAAGTAGAGGAAGGGAGATTCTCTCTGCCTGCATGTTGAGCTGGGACGTCAGTCTTCTCCCACACATGGCCTGGGGTTTACAGCACTGGCTCTCCTGGTCCTCAGGCCTTTGGGCCTGGACGAGGTAGTAATGGGTAAGAGCTAATCTAGTGCCAAACTGCCTCAACTGGAATGCCAGCACTACTGTGGGTCCTTCCTGTGTGTGTTCTGTAGGCAAGTCATCCTTCCTGACCCTTGTTTCCTCATATGTACAATGACAGTAATAATAGCACCTGCCACAGGAGGCTATGAGAGAATACACATTAACATCCCTACAGTGGTAGAACGGTGCCTAGCAGGTACATACACTCAACAGGTACTAGCTATAGCATAAGAATTAGTGAACAGCTAACTGTCACTCACCCCTCTGGGCCACACACCAAAGTGTTATGTACCCAGGAGTGTGATCCTTTCTAACAGGGAAAAATCTATAACAAAATGAATACTTCTACCTGACACATCCTCTGTTCAGGGCCTGTGATGGTAGATTTTATGTCAACTTGACTGGGGGCTACAGGGTACCCAGATCAAGCATTACTTCTGGGTGTATCTGTGATTTTCCAGATGAGACTAACTTGTGAAACGGTGAGCTCAGTAGGCTGCCCTCCCCAGTGTGGGCGGGTATTTGCAATCCATTGAGGGCCTGGCAATAAAAGTAAAGGAAGGGAGATTCTCTCTGCCTGCATGTTGAGCTGGGACGTCAGTCTTCTCCCACACATGGCCTGGGGTTTACAGCACTGGCTCTCCTGGTCCTCAGGCCTTTGGGCCTGGACGAGGCTCACATTGCTGGCTTCCCTGGCTCTCCAGCTTGCAGGTGGCAGATCAGGGGACTCCGCAGCCTCCATCAGTGTGTGAGTCAATGAATCCCCACACACATCTCTACTGGTTCTGTTTCCGTGAAGAACCATGACTAATACAGGACGATTATGTATTACCAACTAGTGCACACACTTAATAAGGTTAACCATATCAATTTACCTTTCATACATAAGATCTTCTTTTAAATAAATAGCAGATCTAGATGTTTCAGAATTTAAAAGGTACAAACGAGGATATACTACTGTAGAGACACCAGCTCTTTTACCAAAAGGCAACCACTATTACTAGTATCCTGTATATTCTTCCAGATAGGCTATGCATATAAAATAATATACATACAAACAAATTTAAACCAACTTTAAAATTCCCCCTCTTCATCAACAACTGCAGATAAACAAGGGCACTTGATAACTTCAATGTACAATAAGGCATAATCCCTACAAAAGCTGTTAAGTACTATAATATAGGCATGTGCAAGAGGCATGTTAATTGCAGAAAAGGGAGAGTGAACAGCATATGCAAAGGCAGCAACATTGAACACAGAGGGCAACAGAAATCTCCAAGTAATTTTTAATACAGCTCAAGCACAAGCCATGTAAGGGGGAGTCATAGCAAACAAAGCTGAGGTAAAAAGGCCAGATTATGAAAGGACTTATCTGCTGTTTAAGGAACTGGGACTTTACCCTTTGTGTGAAGAGCCACATATATAAGGCACTCTGAAGATACTCTAAGGGAAAAAACACCCCTTTAAGTCAGGAACTTGAATCCTTGAAGACACCTTTCAGGTACCATGAGAGATAAAGAACTTCTGCAGCAGCTGTTCCGGGCCGTGATGTCAGCAGGGTAAAAAACACATCGGAAATTCCCTGATTTTTTTTTAAGTTACTTTCCTTTAATCCATTCTCTCTCTATCCCTTCTTCCTTCCCCTCCCTATGTTCAGACCTTTACCGCTGGGCTGTAAAACCACCACCACCACTTCATGACATTCAGAGACAAGGAGAAGGACTGAGCTGGTTTGTTCACTGGGGATTGTTGGAAGAACACTGGCAGAACTCCAGACACTGAGTCACTCACCAAACACTTCGGAGAAGGAATACAGCACAGTGGGTAAGACCGCCAGCTCAGAAGGACAGGCTGAGTTTACACCCAGCTTACACTTACTATCTGTGGGTTTTGAGTCTCGGTTTCTGAATATATAAAACTGAGTTGTTAAGGATAATATTAAGCAGCTGACATTTAGGGTACATGCTTTCTGTATGTCAGGTGCTGTGACCAATCCCTTCTGTGCATGATCTCATTTACACTTCATAATACTCCTGTGAGTTCAATTTTGATAATATCTCCATTTTACAAATGAGAAAACTGAGGGCCAATAAGGCCAAATCTCTTGCCTAAGTCACTTACAAAGTTAACTAGTGGTAAAGCCATAGTTCACACCCAGGTTACTCATGTCAAAACACACCATGACATGGCATAATGAAAGTACAATGGTGCAAGCTTTAAACCTGGCACTATTAATACCACCTAAGACCACACCATAATACTATACTGGCTCCCAGTAACTTAAAACCTAATGAAACTTCCTGATCTTTTTCTAAGCAAATGACTACCAAGTTAAAACTTCCCTAATCTCAAGAGCATGCATGAGACAAGCTGACTTGTTAAAAAACAAGTAAAAAAATAACATTTTTAGTAATGATTAAATTTCACCTGGCTGAATTTTTACTTTATGTGAGTCACTGATAAAACATGAAGAAGACAGTAAATTCAGATCAGATCAATTTATTTAACAAATACATATTACCAATGATCAGATCCTCCTGTATTTAGATAGTAACAATAAACAAACCAGTACAGTGTTTAACCAACAGTTACAAGAATAGCCAAGGACCCCTGGAGGTGGAAACGTCCGATCAAATGCAACCTTCAAGGGAAAAGGTAAGCCTACCAACTCATAAAAATATGCTCTTACATTACGAGTAGCTGCCCAAAGGCCCTACTGACTTTATTATGACTGAGGACTCGGTATACTTGCTCCACGGTTGCCTCAGGCAAAGGCACAACAATGGAGATGGCAAAAATAGCAGGAAGCAGATTTAAGACAGTTATGACAAA